GGGCCCGGGCTGGGGATTCGAACCCGCCACCTTAGGTGTATGTGGCTTGTGCCTTAGCCGCTTGAGCCACAGGCGCCGAGCCCCATGACTGGAACCTTAAAAAAGGTTTGAGAAGTTTTTTCTACCTTCTCCCTGCTTCATCTTTCTCTCCTTTTCTGTTTGCCACATGGCTACTATCAGTATTCCATAAGATCACATAGTATTATACAGCAAACAAAAGAGAAACTGTTTTTTTCCCCCCTCTTTCCTTCCTTACTTTCTTAGGCTCTACTGATTGAGTTAACCAGGTGTTTCCTTTCTTCCTTTTTTTTCTCCCCCAACCAGTCTCTTCCAGAAGCCCCAGGAATAGGTCTGGTCCTGCTTGGGTTAGGTATCTACATCTGGACCAGTCAAATGTGGAGAAAAAGCAATGGCATGTGGTTTAAAAGAAAAAGCAGTACCCACCCTGCAATCCAACAGCAAGAAAAGAAGGAAATTCCCAGAAAGTATTGGGCAAAGGGCAAACCACCCAATGGATATCAACCACATAAGTCATGGATCTGTCTGAGAAACTGCTGGAAACACTGGACTTTCTTCACAGCAATATATATTATAATAAATACAAACACCGAACTGTGCAAACAATTTCAGGGAGTTCATAAAAGCCCTATAAATCCCTTCTTAGATCCTAATTAAAAAACTCCCTATATCCATCTAAAGTTTTCAAATTTTAAATATTGAATGTGAAATTATATTGAAAGGTTTTTCAACCACAGCAAATAAACATGGCAAAATATCAAGTCTTTGGAGGGAATATAGCATGGCCATAAAGTTTGTGTGCAATTTAAATAGTTACAACTATTACGGTCACCCTGTATAATACATGAGAAGTCTATACATAACAGCATGATCTATGTACAAGGGACTATCAATCACATATCGAGTGGTTTTTACTGTCGCCAACATGACAGTCCCCCACTTTATTTTCTACACTTAGAATACTTTCCCAAAGTATGTCTCCAAATACAAACATTTGGGGGATGTAAACCTAGCACTTTTATTCATTTGAATCATACTTTATAATGAGATGTACATATAGTGAAGCAAGTAATAACAAGGCCTAATTCATTCTCATGGTGGCCTAGAAAGAATAAAGCCTACACATGGCCAATCAAGAGCTCTTATCCAAAACACATAGCTATTATTGCGCATAATTTTACTCAAAACAAAACCAAACAAAGACAACAGAAAGCAAGCTAGGAAAATAGAAACAGAAGGCTATGCCTCAAGTCTCTTGTTGACCAGGTGAGATACAAATTAAGCAGATGAAAAGTAGTCAGGAAACATACACCCTTCAACTGGTTATTAGTACGCAGTTAATGATATAACTTCTAAGAATACATAATGGAAGGAAATGACCACATTTCACCACAAAATGTTCTTATATTACAGGAAAAGACAAAATAGTACAACACACAGAACAATGGTTTAACACACAATTTCATTTTTTATATATTCTTTAAACATGTAAAAATTTTATAAACACAGCATTGTATCCATGCCTTTTGATCCTATATCTTATATAAGTTTCATATATGAAATGAAAATTTAAAGTATTATCTTTACTGATATATCTTCTAGGCAATCTTCAATAGAGAATCAAATTTTCTGGGTATCTGAATACATAAAAAACTTAATGAAAACCATAACTTAACAAATTATCATCGAGCCTGATGATACATATTATACTCTAAAGGAAAAATCATATTCCTATATTGTGTTAAAAATATTTGTATTAAGTATACTAGGAAAAAGTAAAACATTCATTCTATGAGGCTGAAAAATTATTTTTAAGCAAAGTCACTGCTATACCAGTACCATTTTTGTAAACAATATTGAACCTCATATTAAGGCTGGTATGTAAAGTCTAAAAATTAATCAGTTACTGTGTGTTCATTTAGAAATTTCTATACCTAAAAAAACTTTTAGAGAAAGTATTTGTAAAATAACAAAGAAACATCATAGATTTTCTTCATTCATGGGTTTAACATGCATAGTTTTTAACATTCCCCTGTGACCCTGAAGTTCTACAATAGGAGTAATTTGTAATCAAGAGTCACACAGTTGACTTTAGATACACTAAAAGCCTAACTGCTGGTCCTAAAGAATTATAAAGAAAACTGCAGCCAAATCATCATCTATATCTTGCTCTGCTCCTTCTTGAATACATAGTAACTTTCATATAATACATGAAGCATAAGGTTTTTATTTTTTAATTATACTTCATCTATTTTTAAATACAGGAAATGACATGTGATAGTGAGATTTACAATTGTGTGGATTCATAAAGCAAGGTCGCTGAATACCTGTCCCAAGAAAGTCACAGGGTTTACTGGTGGCTGTCAAGGGAATGCGGGATTTTAGTGCTGCCTGTCTATAGGCACATATTAATCTAATCAGATGTTCACCACACAGTACTAACAAGTCTAGGACTCACATTTAAACTATGATACTTAATTTTAGTATGATTCCTTTTTAAATCAAAATTAACACACATCAGATGCCTACTGGAAAATGAAAGAAAACACTGTGTATATCTGCCTTTTGGACACTAAAATGATTCATATCATGCCAAGTTCACCTAAATTCTCTTATGTGAAATTCAGAACTGAAGTAGCTCTCTGTACAAGTATTTTACCACAGCTGTGACTCTAAGAAGCACTGACTCTACTGCCCAGCTGTAGTAACCATACCCCTATTTAACATAAATGCTACCCTCTCATTCTGCTTGGATTAGGAGAGAGACCCTTAGTGATGTTTTATCTGTATTCCTTAGTTTCACCTTCAAACAAATGGACAAACAATTACTTACAAATATATCCATAGGCTAGACACACAGTGAGAAACATGAATAAAGATAGATTTATAATATATAAGGAACTATTATGTGCTATTGGTTACCTGGAGGTAGGAATTGCAGTTGGTTATTAGCTAATCGAAGATGACGTAAAGCCCTCAGACGACCAATTTCTGGGCAAACAATTTCTAAGGCATTGTCACTAAGATCCAGACACTGGAGTTTCACAAGGGACCCAATGGCTTAAAAGAGAAAAGAACAGGAGAGGCAAAATGACCCAGGTGTTACAGCAAATTTATAACACCAGTATTCCAACTTAAAACATTTTAACACTTAATATCCCTATCTCAGTTACTCACAAAACAGTAAAAATAATAAACTAAATTTTAAGGAAGTGATAAATACATCCACCTCAAGATAAAATATAATAAACTTTAAAAAACAGCACGAATAAAAACATTGAAACAATGTAAAAAATTGCTTGAACAGGACAGGCACAGTGGCTCACACTGTAATTCA